GGGTTTAGGGTTTGGGGTTGAGAGGATATCTTGGGAGGGTGGACGTTATGGACGCTACAGCCTTGTGAGGGTTCCAGGGCTGTACAAGCCAGCATCGAAGCCAGCATCACGGCGCTATAGACTGCTTGCCTGCTAGTGTGCCTGACAATCCTGGTCACATCCACACTACTGAGGTTGAGAGCTTCGGGCTCAGCGCTCTAGAGCCCTACACACCCAAATCTGGACAGAAACAGCTTCAGGGAAAAGAGGAACATACACAGCAACATGTTGCTGATACTTCAAGGCCGTCACAAACTGCAAAACTAAGTGTTTCGAAAACAATCTTCTGTGAACCATGATTCGTCCAGAAACAGAACTCATACCCAAACTACCTGCAACCACAACGGGGGGACACTATCAAAAGTGTCTCCGTGGGGAACATGAACCGCAAGTGAGCTTTGAATTGATTCTTGCGGTTTGGGATTTACACCTCACCCAGACAAATGTGGAAGCTGCCTGCTCAAAAGACAGTAGTCTTAGTAGGGCCCTTTCCGGGCTTCCGTGTTAGCCTGCGGAGTGTAACTCTGTTGGGGCATTGTGGCCATGTGTAATCTTCGAGATCTCGTTGTTCCAGTCTGCTACAAAACCCGCCACTCCCACATCACAAAGCAACAAAAGCAGCAGAAAAAACATGTACCATTATGAAAACACCCAAAATGCTGATCTCAACCCTAAACCCTATATTATATATGAGCTATAGCCTAAACTCCTAGCATCCCCCTCAACAACCCCTAATATACTCCCCTATATGACCCCTTTTTGATGAGTTTAGATTATTGCTCATATGGCTCCCTTTAGGAATATTCTGCCTTGACAGCTGCACACAGGTCGCCACCATCCGCAAAGTCCATGACTAGGCCTCACTCTGGAAAAACTCGAATGCTTAGAGTTTAGGGCTCAGGATTTCGGGTGTAGGGATTTAGGGCTCAGGATTTGGGGCTCGGGGATTTAGGGCTCAGGATTTTGGGTTACCTAACCCCACTCCCCAAGTTGCGTATTTGTTACCCACTGTAGGTAAAATGGTGGCCTTTTGGGCTTTTTCTACCTAGATTAAGGCTTGGGGTTCAAGACATATGAATACATGGCATGTTATCTGGGCTCCACAGAACTGCTTTTGCGAACCCTGGACCTGCCTCCGCCCGAAATACACAGGACGTTGGGCAGCAAACCCTTGGCTATAGTAGTTTCCATGTTCTTTTCCATTGTCCCTATATAACCCAATATACTACACTAACCCTATAAACCCTAGTATGTAGTAGTTTCCATGGTCTTTTCCCTGGTGGCGAAGGCCTGGTAGTGCGCTTGGGTTGGAAAGCTTGCTGTAGCTTGAGTTGCTTCTGCTGCGAGGGCGTCGCTATGGTTGGTCTTCCTCCTTTGCGATGTCGCCGCAAGCTTTCTGCCATGCCACCTCAGGAGCCTGCACCCCAAAACTGCATGTAGCTGCATAGTATATACTTGGATAACGCTACCGCGTGAGAACCCCTTGAGGCCTTAAGCATGTGCCATGTACCTACATGGATCCTTGAGGCCCGTTGGGGAAGCCCGCGTCCTTCTTCAGCCCATGTGCCAAGACCTAAACCGCGAGCAGTGCTTGTGACTCATAGCCGACAAGGACACTGTTCTAACACCTCCCTTACCGCGAGGCGCACGAGAGTGGGGTTCTTCTTAGGGAATATGTAGGCATTGCTTTGAAAAACTCCCATATATACCCATCAGAGCATATGAAAAGTTGCACCAGGGTTTCAATTTAACCCTAGCCTGAACCCTGAATCCCCTTCCAAACTGAAAATGCTGCCTAGACAAACCCCGAAAATTTCCATATGGGCGTCCTCTTAATAGGAGTCCTCCTGATATCCTGTCAACATAATCTAAGGCTCGTTGTATCAAGCACCCAAAAAGAGACTCACAATTCGGAGCAACTCCCATAGCAGCCCATCATAAGCCTGCTCTCCCGGTGGGAACTCAGGGGTCACTGAAAGCACTTCTCCTCATCAGAGAGGAGGAAGCTACGCAGCAAAGCTTAACTAAGAGAACTTCAGGCGAACACCTCCCAGACAGCTTTTACAAGGCGAATTTACCCAGTAAAGTTTAGGGTTTTGGACATTGGCATTCAAGTGCTTAAGCTCCCGCCCTAACCAGGAACCCTGTAAGTTCCAACATCCTGTGATGATTCGATACCACCCTTTTCTCCCTATAAGCCACCAGTTTCCACAGCTTTTCAATCTTCTCGTGATTCTGCCTAAGAGTCTTGAAGGTTGTTTCCGCAAAACCTGTCATCCCTCAGCCCAGAATTTAGGGGTTATAGTCCCCCTTAAGTAGATAGAATACGGGGTATATGGGAACCTTATTGTGACATACCCAAAGCCATATTCTATCTACTTAAGGGGGACTATAGGGTCTAGGGTTTGTCTCCATGGAAACTTTCCCTAGACCATGGTGCCCTTTGCAGCTCTCAAGGAAGCCACCAGTCATGGTCCAAGTAGGCGATTGCTTTTTCCGTGTCAATATGCTGGAGTATCCATGTCTCTGGGACCTAGAACCCTGAACCTTAAACCCTACCCCCCCCAACATATGTTACCGTTTAAAACCTGAGAGGTTTTCTGGCCCCTCAGCTAGTCCAAAAGCGTAGTGGTCCTCAACATCAATTTGGTAGTTTCCCAAAATAAGGGGACCCCAGTGTAAATCCTAATATACTACATAATTTGACTATAATCCTTCTTCTGGGAATCCCCAAAAAGGTACCCCTTATGTTGGGAAACCCCCATTTATGTGGGGATACTATTCTTCATATTGCCAATGCCGTAACTACTATCACTAATTACCATGCTTACTACCATTACATCACTACTACAGTCATCCCCGCATTCAAGACTAAGCAATCTGAGCGCCGTGCAAAGCCAACCAGATCGCACAAAGACCTGAGCACTTGTCAAGAAAGCTTGTCAAAACATGTCAAAACACCTTGCGCAAATAAGTCCTTCATAGACCCAAGCCCTGAGTCCTTCAGAAGCCCTAAGCCCTGAGCCTTAAACCTTCTTATCCACAAGCTATATGTCGCATCCTTGCTCTCAACAGTCAACAATCTCAGCATTTCAACTACTTACTGGGTGTTAGTAGGGACTAAGGGAATATAGTAAATGGGGTTATATAGGGACTATATTCCCTTATTCCCTACTACGAACCAGTTAGACTATTCTACATCGGTGCTGCGCACTGTGCACCACGGCTAAGGGAAAGTGGTAGCCTGCCGTGGAAGCCCTTACGACAGACTATTGACCAAACGTCCATGTAGGTGTACATATTTTTTCTTTATGTACACACTTACGGCCCAAACAGGTTTCCATATAACTACTTCGGGCCACATTTTGACTTACCTACCCGCGCTCATTGCGCCTTACATGGAAATAAACTACTTACAGTCAGACCATAGTCTAGGCTGTGGGAGCTTATAGTCCCCCATAAGCAGATAGAATATGGCTATATATATATA